GTGAAACAGAAATTAAAAGGTACAGCGCAAAAAGTGAAATCCCTGCAAGCTGCATGGAAAATGTTTAAAGATACCATAATAGAGGCTCAACTTACATATATACCCCAAATTAAAAAACATAGTAAGAGAACCAAAAATGTGCCACCGTGGCTCAACAACAAAGTAAAAGAAGCAGTGAGAGGCAAAAAGGCATCCTTTAGAAAGTGGAAGCTAAATCCCAGTGAGGAAAACAGAAAGGAGCCTAAACACTGGCAAATAAAGTGTAAAAATATAATCAGGAAGGCCAAAAAAGAATCTGAAGAACAGCTAGCTAAAGACTCAAAAAGTAATAGCAAAATTCCTTTTACGTACATCAGAAGCGAGAAGTTTGCTAAACAACCAGTGGGGCCACTGGCTGATCGAGATGCTAAAGGCGCACTCAAGGATGATAAGGCCGTTGTGGAGAAACTAAATGAATTCTTTGCATCGGTCTTCATGGCTGAGGATGTGAGCGAGATTCCCAAACCTGAACCATTCTTTTTAGGTGGCAAATCTGAGGCACTGTCCCAGAATGAGGTAGTCATTAGAGGAGGTTTTGGAACAAATTGACAAACTAAACAGTAATAGGTCACCAGGACCAGATGGTATTCACCCAAGAGTTCTGAAGGAACTTAAATATGAAATTGCAGAACTACTAACTGTAGTCTGTAACCTATCATTTAAATCAGCTTCTGTACCAGATGAGTGGAGGATAGCTAATGTGACGCCAATTTTTAAAAAAGGCTCCAGAGGTGATCCCGGCAATTACATGTCAGTAAGCCTGACTTCAGTACCAGGCAAACTGGTTGAAACTATAGTAAAGAACAAAATTGCCGGACACATAGATGAACACAATTTGTTAGGGAAAAGTCAACATGGTTTTTGTTAAGGGAAATCATGCCTCACCAATCTACTAGAATTCTTTGAGGGAGGTCAACAAGTATGTGGACAAGGGGGATCCAGTGGATATAGTATACTTAGATTTGCAGAAGGCCTTTGACAAGGTCCCTCACCAAAGGCTCTTAAGCAAAGTAAGCTGTCATGGGATAAGAGGGAAGGTCCTCTCATGGATTGGTAACTGGTCAAAAGATAGGAAACAAAGGGTAGGAATAAATGGTCAGTTTTCAGAATGGAGAGTGGTAAATAGTGGTGTCCCCCAGGGATCTGTACTGGGACCAGGCCTATTCAACATATTCATAAATGATCTGGAAAAAGGGGTAAACAGTGAGGTGGCAACATTTGCAGATCATACAAAACTACTCAAGATAGTTAAGTCCCAGGCAGACTGCAAAGAGCTACAAAAGTATCTCTCAAAACTGGATGACTGGGCAACAAAATGGCAGATGAAATTCAATGTTGATAAATGCAAAGTAATGCACATTGGAAAGCGTAATCCCAATGTAGCGGGGTGGTTACCCACTCTTGCCCTGTGGGGCTTAAAAGCTAGCCCTGGGAGAGAGCCAGGGCTGAGGGCAAGAGAAGCTAGGCTGATTGGGGAAATGGCCGCAGCTGGGCCCTGCCCCAATCAGGCCACAGCTGGGCCTATAAAGGGGCTGCTAGGCTGAAGCTTAGCTAGTCTCTCTTTGTGTTCAGAGAGAGAAGGGCCTGGCTGTGGGGACCTGAGGGAATACCTAGCTTGGGGCAGGGCAGAGGGGGAAAGGCCTTGGGAGCAGGGGAACTCCGGCCTGGAACCCCCAAGGCTGCGAGGTGTAGATTAGGGCCTATTAGGTAATGGGGTTGCAAGGGGGCAGCCCACAGGTAGACAGAGGCAGTGGGTCCAAACCCCCTCACCTGTGATGAGTGGCTGATACACTGCAGTCTGCCCCGGGAAGCAGGGCTAAGTGATGACTGGCAGTAGCCAAGACTGAGGTGAGGTGGGGGTAGTGGGTGGGGGTTCCCCAGGGAGGGGAGACCCTCAGGGATTGTTGGGGTTTACTGCCAGGGGGCAGCACCCCCGTGGGAGGAGGCACTGGGTCCTGGGAGGGACTGGGGCTGGCGGTAAGGCGGATCACCAGATGGCAGAGGGCACTCCAGAGGCTGATGAGCTAATTCCCAAGGACAACCAACAGGAGGCGCTGCTGGGTGAGTCAGGCTCTATTGCACCCATCTATACATATAAAATGATGGGATCTAAATCAACTCTTACTACCGAAGAAAGAGATCTTGGAGTCATTGTGGATAGTTCTCTGAAAACATCCATTCAATTTGCAGGGGGCAGCCAAAAAAGTGAACAGAATGTTAGGAATCATTAGGAAAGGGATAGATAATAAGACAGAAAATATCATATTGCCTCTATATAAATCCATGGTACACCCACATCTCAAATACTGTGTGCAGATGTGGTTGCCCCATCTCAAAAAAGATATATTGGAAAAGGTTCAGAAAAGGGGCAACAAAAATGATTAGGGGTATGGAACGGCCGCCATTTGGGGAAATATTAGTAAGACTGGGCCTTTTCAGCTTGGAAAAGAGAAGACTAAGGGGGGATATGATAGAGGTCTATTAAAATAATGACTGGTGTGGAGAAAGTAAATAAGAAAGTGTTATTTACTCCTTCTCATAACACAAGAACTAGGGGTCACCCAATGAAATGAATAGGCAGCAGGTTTAAAACAAACAAAAGGAAGTATTTTTTCACACAACACACAGTCAACCTGTGGAACTCCTTGCCAGAGGATGTTGTGAAGGCCAGGACTATAACAGGGTTCAAAAAAGAACTAATAAGTTCATGGAGGATAGGTCCATCAATGGCTATTAGCCGGGATGGTGTCCCTAGCCTCTGTTTGCCAGAAGCTGGGAATGGGCAACACGGGATGGATGACTTGATTACCTGTTCTGTTCATTCCCTCTGGGGCACCTGGCATTGGTCACTGTCAGAAGACAGAATACTGGGATAGATGGACCTTTGGTCTGACCCAGTATGGCCATTCTTATCTTCTCGCTAAATATGACTACCTGATCTGTGGCAGAGTATTACCCTTCAATGAAAAGCCCCCCCAGGAAATAAGAGTTGACTTAAAATCTGTCATTTCAGAGGAACAATTGGTAGCCAGAACTTTACTCCAACCAGCCCGTGACTCTGACACAGCAGCCCATTCCAGGGCCATGGCTGTTACCATGCAAAGGGCATCCTGGTTACAGTCCTCAGGGACGCCCAAAGAAGTACAAATGACTGTAGAAGCTCTCTTTCTTTCAAAGGGCCTTTGAACTACACCTATTTTTCTTTTCCACCAAAAAAAGATTTGAACATATTTTAACATTACTGGAAGCACTATCAAAAGCAGGGAATTTATTCCCAGTAAAATATTCCAATATCTAAAGGGAAAGAAAACAGGACCAGGCTGAGGGGTGGGCAGGCTGGGCGACTTCCCAGAGGTGCTGTTCAAAGGGTGGGGTGCCTCTGAAGCAGGGTATTCCTCCTTTCCGCTCTGCTGCTGTCTGCAGCTATTGCCCTCTGCTTCGGAGCTGCCTCTGGTCAAGCTGGTCCTGGGAACCTCCTGTCTACTGTGCAGTGCGGGAGAGGAGGGCTGTCAGGGTATCCCCCTCCCCCCTGCCTGTGTACCCAGTCTCTGCTGAACTGGGGTGGGGGAACAGGAGTCTGCTGCTGCTGCTGCTTCTAGGTCAGGAGTGGGAGCTGCTAGCAGCTGCTGCTGTCTGAACAAGCCTTCAGACTAGTGAGTGCTGTGCTTAAAGTGACAGCGTGCTGTCTCTCACACTCCCCCATCACGTATATTAAAATTAAGCAAAAACATTTTTAGTGGAGTGAAAAACAATTGACTAAAATAGAGTAGATAATGGCAGTAACATAGAATGCATCTGTTAGAGAAAGTAAGCAGATTTTATTTATCTTTACTGAAGATAGTGTACAAAGTATCAAACTTGTGTTTCTGATATCTCTGTTAAAGTTCTAGAACTGATACCTCAAGGCTTGGGATTGGGAATATCTTGCTGTATTATCTCCTGATTGTTCTAAATTTATATATAAATTTAAAATATGGTTTTAATTGTATGTATTTTTTCTTTCTTTATATAGGAATTGGATACTGTGTTCCTGTCAGCTAATTCTCAAGTTACCTGCAAACACCTCCTCCCCCACCCCACCCCCCCACCCCCCCAAAAAAAACCAACCAAACAAAAAAAATCCCTAGTTTTCAGGTGCCTAAGTAGTCTCTGGAACATGGTTAAAGTTTCCCCAGCCCCCAAAATCTGAAATGGCACCCCTGGTGAGCCAGGAGTGGCTAGAGGGCTGCAGGAGGCCATGGGCTTTGGTAAGAGGCAGCCCCCATGTAACTGTGCAAAGACTGCCTTGAGCTGCAGGCAGAGCATCAGTCAGCATTTCCTTTCCCTCTTGAGGCCCTCCCCAGCCATCCTTTATCTTCTCTTTATAACCCTAACCTAAGTCCTCAGTTAACCCATTCCTTTCCTACCTTAGTGTGGGATATGTACACCCCATCACCAGCTCCTTAAACTACGTATCACTGTAATTCCCCCACAAACAATAAGTCACTTCTGAGAAAAGCCAGATAAATAAACCATATTTTGAATTTATAGACAAAGCTGGAGATACGATGGGCTAACAAGAGCTTGGAAAATTTTCAGAGTTGGTAACGGGAATATATTTAAAACACAATAATTTGAATATTGGTTTTCTGATTGGAAAAACACTACCCTGCAATTAGATGTGGTTTGTGAAACTTCAGGGACAGTGGCTTCTTTTGGGGAAAGTTGAGAGGGGAAAGCATTGGAAAGACTGCTGTTAAAGTGGGAAGCTAGCTTTAGCCTTAACTATGGTAGGGCAACTGTTGTTCCATAACAACTTTATGATTCAGCAAAGGCATGTCATGGAGTGCTGAATTCTGGGAGAGACAGGTGAATGTATAATCAGTGTCAGGCCATTAGACAAAGAAGCACTTCCCTGGTGATTCTCTCTCATTCAATAGCTTACATAGCGGATAACGTGCTGTGAAAAGAAGGTACTTCCCTCAGTGAAATATAAGCAGTTTATTACAATACATAAAGAGTATATCAACACACAGTAGTTATAGTATTAAATACACCAGAGAAAAATACATAAAAGAAAGGGAACTACTTTATTGGAATGAGAGAATGTTAATAACTGATTTTGTACCCCAAAAGGATATGGGAACTACTGGGAACATAAAGAGAAGGGAGTTCAAGATATCCATGGTAAATTTCGTCTTCCTGGGCTTCAGAGAATGATCTAGTCTTAGTTATCTGCTCCTCTCCAAAGTTTGGATTCAGTGAACACAAACCGATTGAGGCCAATAGAAATGGACAAATCAGCCTGGATATATCTAACAACACAAGCCAGCAGCAGAATAAAGCAGCTTTCTGTAGCTATCAGTGATACTGAATATGAGAAATAGTATGTAAAGATAAACTGTGCCTACAGCATTGTATGGAAACAAATGGTGCTGCATCCCCTGCCTGCCTACCTTGTGTCTTTGCACAGGCTTGAAGTTAAATGGATCAGAATGCCAGACCATTCTTGCTATCTTGCTCAGAGAAAGTGGCACTGTGCCCGATATGGTGAGTGCAGGCAGTACTTCTCTAGCATTTGGGGTCCTGCCAAATGCCTGGGAGTGGAGTTGTACCCCAGCTGTTTGTTCCCTACAGGGCCTGTCACTGGGTGGATTGGGCTGTACTCCACTTGGTCAGTGTTGGTGCATATTCAATGCTGGTGCCTGTTGGCAGGAATTTGATATTGGAAGATTCTGGAGTGCAGATTTACAGATGGTCCCGTAGGACTGGGAGTAACTGCCCATCGATGCCTTGGGATCTCCAGCAGCTCCCATATTTGCTGTGACCTGGAACATCTTTTTACTGGACTTCAGAAGAGGGTGAGCATCCCTGCTGGGAAACTGTGGGTTCCTTGGATTCTGTGTGAGAAAGAAAAGTCAAAACAGCTCAGGCACCCTAAATCAACTCCTCATACAGAAACAAGGGGCGTGGCACAGATCCTGGCTATGCAGAGAAGGAGTAGAGCAAATCCCAGAATGAGAAGGGGCATAGGGCAGGACTGTCCAGAAGGTGAAGGAGAGAAGGCTGTAAAGGAGACGTGGGCTCAGCCTGCACCCCGAGAGGGAGAAGACAGTGGGGATCAGTCAAGATATGAAAAGACACAGACTATGATCCCACCAGAAAAGAGTTTGACGGGAAAGGCATACAGCTGTAGATACTCTGTGCAGCTCCAATCAGTCACTTGAAATGGGGAAAGGAAAATGCCCATACTTACTAGTCTGGTACTGGTTGCTGTCACCACAACCATCATGGGAGAGTCCTTCCTGGTCAGGTGACTGTGGATAGCAGCTTCCTGTGCCTGACTGGATAGTGAAAATGATCTCAGGTTGGATACGGACTGACCTTGAGAGTCAGGACCTTTTGGCACTTCCTGATTCTGAAGGAGAAAGATATCAGTGACAGGGCTGAGCAGCAGTGTCTGGCAGCCCCTGGGGCTTGGAGAGGAGGATCAGTATTCTGAAAAAGAAGCTCTTCTCTTGCTACCATCATGGAACAAGTGGAATTTCTTGCCAGGTAGGATTTATTAAGAGAGTACATCTGTGGTTTTTACATCTGGGGTGATCACCTCCATTTACATTTCTTTCTCAGGATGGATAACCCTTTCTGTACCAGTGCAAGGGAATATGCAGGGGTTAACCCTTCAGAAACGGTTGCTTCTGTTCAAACTCTCTCCTAGCTTTGACAATGAGCACATGCACAGGTGTTGGATATATACATGTTCCAAACACACATCGTGTTAACTAGCACTTGGTATCTAATTCACCAGCAGAAACATCACCTCTGCCTACCTTGTGGCAGATCATTTTAGTCACCAACAGGACTCTACATGCACAAAAGGACGGAAAATCACAAAGCTGCCTTCTAAAGGTGTGACACAACAACTATTCTCCTCCTCCTCAAGAGGAATACGTTCATGGACACTAGAAGAACTGCTGTTACTTCACATCTAATTCTTGTGATGTCACTATTAGTCACTGCTTCAAAATCTGATGTAAAAACATTGGATCTTAAGGATGAAAAATCCTTTGTGGGCATCCAGTTCTTACTCATGCTAGCAAAATCTCTATAGCCAGCCTTCTCTTCAATGTCCCTGGTAAAGGAAACATCAATCTTCTGTGTGGACACAGTGGGATTATTACTCACACTGTGCAGACTGTGGGAACTCTTTCTCAGATGAAAGACTCTCCATATGTCTTGCAGTACTTACCTCAGTCACAAGAAGCCTTTCAGCCTTTCTAACTGAGCAAATCACAGACCAACTTGACTTCCCCTTGGAAATGGCACCACAGTGGAAGGCAAGTAAAAACTCATTTCCCCCCACAGCAACTTAGATCCCTGCAAACAGTAAGACTGGTTTTGTGTGATGCTACTCACGTTATAGGGATTCTGTATGCCTGTTGCAGGTGGCTGAGCACTCATATTCACCCATGTGATCTGTCTCCCAAGTTTCCTATTGATGGAGGATGCTCTCTGATGCTGAGGGAGTGGTGCTGAATGGTTCCTGGCCATTACAACAGAACCCAGGCTATCTGCAGGAAGAAAGAACACGTGTGTGATGCATGGCTAAAAAGGGTTAAACATCCTGCAAAATAAATAACCCTCAAAAGACATGTGGGGAGATAATGTTTGTGTTTTTGTGTATTTACATATGTATGAGTAGGGTTGACAATGTAATCAACAGTCCCTGTCTATGCTGCATTCTGGTAATTCAGAGGTCAAAAGAACATCCTATCATTTAAATGAATTGTAAACTAATTGAGTAACCAGTAAAGTAATAAAGAAGCTGTTTTATGCTGGCTTGGTAAATCTGAGTATTGGAATATCCACCAGCTTTTTGTCATGTATAATTTTTGGGGTTTGTCTGCTCCATTTTTTTTGCAGTGCACCCTAACTGAGTGACCATACTTAGCTCCGCACTAGGACTCCAGTCACAATGTGATACATAGAAAGGAGGGAGAATTAGAGTGAGAAGAATGAAGGATGAAACACAGATGGTAAAGTTAGAGCAAGGTTAGAAAGGATGAAATGGACAAAGAAAAAGAACCTCATAGAGAAACAGAAGAGAAGATAGTAAGTGGGGGAGGGAGGTGGAAGAGGTGCATCTCATACCTTCTCTCTTACAGGGAGGGAAAGAGCAAAGGTTGAAGAAACAAAGGGATGGGAAGAGAAAGGAACACGCAGAGCCAGAACAAGAATAGTGAAAAGCAAACAGAGACAAAGTGAGTGAATACAGAGAGAAACCAAGGAATCAAGAAAGGGGTTGCACGGGAAAGACTGTTACTCACCTTCAGTAACTGAAGTTCTTCGAGATTTTTGTTCCTGTGGGTGCTCCCCTTTAGGTGAGCCTGCGCCTGTAATCGGAGATTTTTTAGTATCAGTGCCTAGTTGGGTTGCACATGTGCTGTCCCCATCTCACACCACTTCTGGTGGTTACATACCACTTTGCAACCAACTTTCCCTCAGTTCCTTCTCTACTGCAGAGTCTCTAACGTGACAATTCTGAAGTAGAGGGAGGGTAGTGGAGCACCCACAATGACAACCATCTCAAAGAAACTCAGTTACTGCACAGGGTTAGTAAACCTTTTCTTCTTCAAGGCATGTCTCTGTGGGTGCTCTACTTGAGGTAACTGTAGAGCAGTGCCCCTCGGTGGAAGGGAGGGGCTTCAGAGTTGCAGTCATGGCGGATGATAAAACTGCAAGTCCGAATAGAATGTCTGATTGCTGCTCTATGGCATAATGCTGTGTGACCCTATGGGTGGACAGCCAGGTTACTGAATTGCAGATGTCCATAATGGGCACATTTGCTGAGGAAGGCTATCGATGTAGAGACCGCTCTGAAGTGTGTGCGGATTGTAGCTGTTGATGACGATAACAAGTCAATGCAGCTGGAGATCCATTTTGATAGCATCTGTTTAGATATGGCATCTCCCTTAGATCAATCCATAATGGAAAGAAATAACTGATCTTCTGAAAGTCTTTGTCCTCTCAATGTAAAATGCTAGTGCTCTCCAAACATCCAGAGTGTGGAGCATTGCTTTGTGAAGTTTTGGGAAGAACGATGGGAAATGCATGGGCTGATTCAAGTGGAATGAGGAAGCTACTTTAGGTAAGAATTTGGGATGTGGTTTTAGGGTAACTTTATTTTTGAAAAATGTTGTGTATGGGGGTGTGTGCCATGAGGGCCCCCAGTTCTCCGACTCGTCAGGTGGATGTGATAGTGATGAGAGAGGCCACCTGTGAGAGAGAGAGAAGTGAACACATCATTAATGGTTCAAAAGGGGGCACAGTAAGGACTTGCAGCACCAGATTGAGGTCCCATGGTGGAGTAGGGCCTTGTATTTTGGGGCAGAGGTTACAAAAACCCTTGAGAAAGTGTTTAGTGGTCAGGTTTCAGAGTAGCAGCGGTGTTAGTCTGTATCCGCAAAAAGAAAAGGAGTACTTGTGGCACCTTAGACTAACAAATTTATTTGAGCATAAGCTTTCGTGAGCTACAGCTCACTTCATTGGATGCATTCAGTGGAAAATACAGTGGGGAGGTTTTATATACACAGAGAACATGAAACAATGGGTGTTACCATAGACACCGTAACAGGAGTGATCAGGAAAGGTGAGCTATTACCAGCAGGAGAGTGGGGGGGGGGGCGCGCGGGGAGAAAACCTTCTGTAGTGATAATCAAGGTGGGCCATTTCCAGCAGTTGACAAGAATGTCTGAGGAACAGTGGGGGGGGCGGGTGTGGAACATGGGAAAATAGTTTCATTTTGTGTAATGACCTATCCACTCTCAGTCTTTATTCAAGCCAAAGTTAATTGTATCCAGCTTGCAAATTAATTCCAATTCAGCAGTCTCTCATTGGAGTCTGTTTGGTATGATGTTCATGATGGCATATATCACATTGCTAGATGTGCACGTGAACAAGCCTCTGATAGTGTGGCTGATGTGATTAGGCCCTATCAGAGGCTTGTTCACGTGCACATCTAGCAATGTGATATATGCCATCATGTGCCAGCAATGCCCCTCTGCCATGTACATTGGCCAAACTGGACAGTCTCTACGTAAAAGAATAAATGGACACAAATCAGATGTCAAGAATTCTAACATTCAAAAACCAGTCAGCAAACACATCAATCTCTCTTTGGTCACTCGATTACAGACCTAAAAGTGGTAATTTTTCAACAAAAAAACTTCAAAAACAGACTCCAATGAGAGACTGCTGAATTGGAATTAATTTGCAAGCTGGATACAATTAACTTTGGCTTGAATAAAGACTGAGAGTGGATAGGTCATTACACAAAGTGAAACTATTTTCCCATGTTCCACACCCCCCCCCCCACTGTTCCTCAGACATTCTTGTCAACTGCTGGAAATGGCCCACCTTGATTATCACTACAGAAGGTTTTCTCCCCGCGCGCCCCCCCCCCACTCTCCTGCTGGTAATAGCTCACCTTTCCTGATCACTCTTGTTACAGTGTCTATGGTAACACCCATTGTTTCATGTTCTCTGTGTATATAAAACCTCCCCACTGTATTTTCCACTGAATGCGTCTGATGAAGTGAGCTGTAGCTCACGAAAGCTTATGCTCAAATAAATGTTAGTCTCTAAGGTGCCACAAGACAGCTTTGAGTAATTTGAGTGGTTGCATTTGGCCATTACTGCTTCATAGTTTGCGATCCTAAACTGTAGAATCGATGAAGAGTACGCTTTGCACCCAAAAAGATCCAACCTCCTCCAGTCTGTTTATATGGGGTGGATCTGAAATGGTGTTGTCTACCCTGCTTGTTCCCGGCCTCCACCACTACAGAGTTTGGTGTGGGGTGTGAAAATAGGAATTCCATCCTGTTGGAAAGGACATAATTTTTATCTGCTCTTTTGCAGGTGTGCTGAATTGTTGCTGGGGTTTGCCAGACAGTCTTGACTGGGTCCATGACAGCCTAATTTACAGGGACGACAATCTTGGAGGAGGCTGGAGGATGTCCAGCAACTTATGTTCCACCACTTCTTCTATTGGTATCTCCTGGGAATCTGCAATCCTCTTAAACATTTTGTGGAACTGTTTAAAGTCATCTATGAGGGTGGTGGGGGCATGATAGCTTCATCTGAGGAAGAGGATGAAAAATTGGCAGTTGGTGCAACTTCCTGATCCAAAGTGACCTCTAATTCCTTCACTGCCTCTTCTGGAGGTTCAGAGGGCCCAGGTTCAGAGGGGGAAGCAGAATGCCTTGCCCTAGGCAGACTGGGAACCTTAGCATAGTGTTGGCGCTATGCTGTCCATAGGCCCCAGTAAGGCCACTGTAGTGGAAAAAGCATAGATGTCTATACCAGCCTTGAGTCTTGTGTGGTACCTATAGTGCTCTGGTGGACCTGGTCTGGTAGCTGTGTGGACAGGCAAGGAGTGATGGGAGGAGTGGATTTCATCATCTTCATCCTTGCCACTGGATAAAGAAGCAGCTGATCTGGCTGGTGTGGTAAGTTAATTCCGTACCAAGCGTGCTGGAGTGAGGTCAGTACTAAGGAGTGGAGATTCCAGTGCTGAGGAGATCAGAAGATCCTTGTGGTGGAGAAATTGCTGTGGTACCAAGAGCATCTGTTCAAGAGGAAGTAAACAAAACTAACTAGTATTCTCTAGTTAAAACTAGAGAGATAAAAACAGAGGCATTGCTAAGGGCTTCATCTCAAGCAGAGGGCGGTAGAGAAAGAACTGAGGGGGTGTTGGCTGCACAGGGCTATTCACCGCCAGATGCAGCGCAAGATGGGGAGAGCGCATGTGCAACCCAACCAGGCACTGCTACTAAAAATGTCCAACTACAAGCGCTGGGGCGCAGACTCACCTAAAGTGGAGCACCCACAGGGACACTCCTCAAAGAGAGAGGGTGGGAGTCTCTTTGTTTTAAAGTTTTTAATAAGATATGGTCTCCATGCTGGGCTGAAGATAGTTTGTTCTTCTGTAACAGGCTTTGGCAGGTTGGGTCTGAGGCCATGTCTACACTACTGGCTAAACCAGCACTGCTGCGATCAATGCATCAGTGCAGATTTAGCAGATCTGGTGAAGATACACTAAGTCAATGGCAGAGCACTCTCCCGGCGATGTCTGTCTGTACTCCACCTCCCCAACAAGCAAAAGCTATGTTGACAGAGCGTCTCCCGTCAACACAGTGCGATATAGACACTGCTGTAAGGCAACCTAAGTTGCGTCGACTTCAGTTACGTAACTTAAATAACTGAACTAGCATAACTTAGATAGGGCTGGTATACACTTACAGAGTTAGTGTAGACCAGCCTTAATAGACAAATTGGCCGCACAAGAATCACTGGCTATCATTATTGTGCTTCGGCTTAGTGATAGCTTAGATTGGGGTGGGCACGCTCTTTGACCTGAGGGCCACATCTGGGTATGAAAATTGTATGGCAGGCCATGAATGCTCATGAAATTGGGGGTTGGGCTGTGGGAGGGACTGAAGTCTCTGGCTGGGGGTGCAGGGTCTAGGATGGGACCAGAAATGAGGAGTTCAGGGTGTGGGAGAGGGCTCCAGGCTGGGGCAGGGGTGCAGAGGGGGGTGAGGGCTCCAGCTGGGGGTGCAGGCTCTGGGATGAGGGGTTTGGGGGTGCAGGAGGGTGCTCCAGGATGGGACCAAGGGGTTTGGAGGGCGGGAAGGGGATCAGGGCTGAGGCAGAGGGTTGGGGTGTGGGAGGGGGCCAAGGGTGCTGCTCCCGGCGGCGCTTACCTCAAGCAGCTCCTGGAAGCAGCAGCATGTCCCCCTCCGGCTCCTACGCAGAGGTGCAGCCAGGCAGCTCAGCATGCTGCCCCATCCACAGGTGCCACCCCTGCAGCTCCCATTGGCCATGGCTCCCAGCCAATGGGAGTTGTGGAGCCCCTTGGCTGACCCTAGGCATAGGAGCCAGAGGGGGAACATGCCGCTGATTCCGGGAGCTGCGCAGAGCCACAGCATAGGCAGAGTGGGGCAAGCCCTGGATCCCTCTCCCTGGCAGGAGCTTGAGGGCCAGATTAAAACGTCTGAAGGGCTGGATCTGGCCCTCAGGATGTAGTTTGCCTAGCCCTGGCTTAGATCTATTATATATGTATGTAACATTAGCTTGAAATGCCTTCAATTAACTCTGCTGTATTCCCTTTTATTTTGTATTTGTCACCCTCTCTTTTAATTCTTCTGTAAAAAGATAATTTGTACTGAAAAATTCTGTATATCCTTAATAAAAAAAACAGTAACTAGCCTTTTACTAAACTATAATAAAAGAGTGCCCATTAAATCATAGTGCCCACTAAATCATAGAATATCAGGGTTGGAAGGGACCTCAGGAGGTCATCTAGTCCAACCCCCCTGCTCAAAGCAGGATCATTCAATATTCCAGGTGCATTTGATAATCTTTAAAAAAAATATTAACAGACCTATTAGTTATCCCAGATCAAATAACCCAGAGACAACATAAGTAATAAAAATTATTTGGTCTGTTCACAATCCTCACTAGAGTCCTCTATTACCACTACCAGGTCTACCCAACTCCTCATGAGCAATGGCAAAAAGGCAGGCCTTGCATCATCCCCTGAAAGCGAACAAATATGAGCTCTTACAGCCCAAAGGAAGGAGTTCCAAAGACCCAGGAACCCTAAAAAGAATGCCCTCCCAGCTGTTCCTTCTCTTATACTGATTGGGGCTTTGACTGTAATTGTGGCAGTATGTCACAGGGAGAGAGGAAGTCTCTCACATAGGTCCCAGGCCAGTTTGGTGGCACATTCTACTGGTATGTGATTTGAGAATGGAAATAGTAGAAAGAAAGGACTTTGGGAAGGAAAGATATTGTTTAACAGGCAAAAGACTTATCATCTGAGTCTTTACTGGTAAGTTTGTGATTCTTGAATGAGTATTTGGTGTTCCAAATATTTGAGTAGGGAATTTCAACACCCAGCACCTCTCCACAAAAGTGTCAGTACAAATCATTCTGAGAAAGGAAAATTCCCCGCCCCCCAACTGGAAATTCATTTGTCTTGATATTCTCTCTGCACTGTCTTCCTGGTGCAACTTCCCTTCCCCTTTTACACTCACCATCTCATATTGCCCTTGTAAATTTCATTGGTTTCTATCTCCTTCCTGCTTCGCTCTCCCTGTCCTTAGCTATTATGTGCAACACATTCTAATTCAGGAGGTTGGTACATACTCTGAACAGTGGTGTGCGTTATGGGGTTGTAAAGCATGTTGATTTTAGGTCTCTGGCAGAGAGTTCCTGCTAAACCCTCTCTCTGGCTGGAAACTTCACAAAGCACTGGAGGCCCTGCAGGCACATGTGAACTTTTCATAAGAGTGGGTCTTGGCTCTCTCTGATCCCCGATGGTAGATAAAGGCACAAAGCTGGTGTTTGGAAGAGATGGTTTGAACTGAGATGGACTTGGTTGAAGGTTCTCTCTTTGGATTTGTTTCTGTTGACGGTTATTTGCCTTCCTTTCCAGAATCATCTGCAGGAACAAGAAGCTGGTTATGTTTTTAAAACATATAAACGTGATTAAGAACATAAAGATGGCCACATTGGTCTGACCCAATGGTCCAACTACCCCATCTTCCCAAGTGGCTGGTGCCACATACTTCAGAGGGACTGAACAGAACAGGGCACTTTATCGATTGATCCATCCCATCATTCAGTTCCTGGTTCTGGAAGTCGAATGGCTATGCAGGTGGTGTTGGAGAGAAGGCTTTGGATTATTTGACCATGGGATGGTGTTCCAAGAAGGAGTGCTAGGTAGAGATGGGCTCCACCTAACGAGGAGAGGGAAGAGCATGTTCGCAAGCAGGCTGGCTAACCTAGTGAGGAGGGCTTTAAACTAGGTTCACCGGGGGAAGGAGACCAAAGCCCTGAGGTAAGTGGGATACCAGGAGAAAGCATAAGCAGGAGCGCACAAGAGGGCAGGGCTCCTGCCTCATACTGAGAAAGAGGGCAGATCAGCGGGTTATCTCAAGTGCCTATACACAAATGCAAGAAGCCTGGGAAACAAGCGGGGAGAACTGGAAGTCCTGGCACAGTCAAGGAATTTTGATGTGATGGAATAACAGACTTGGTGGGATAACTCACATGACTGGAGTACGGTCATGGATAGATATAAGCTGTTCAGGAAGGACAGGCAGGGCACAAAAGGTGGGGGGAATTGCACTGTATGTAAGGGAGCAGTATGACTGCTCAGAGCTCAAGTATGAAACTGCAGAAAAACCTGAGTGTCTCTGGATTAAGTTTAGAAATGTGAGCAACAAGGGTGATGTCGTGGTGGAAGTCTGCTATAGACCACCGGACCAGGGGGATGAGGTGGGCGAGGCTTTCTTCCGGCAACTCACGGAAGTTACTAGATCGCAGGCCCTGGTTCTCATGGGAGACTTCAAACACCCCGATATCTGCTGGAAGAGCAATACAGCGGTGCACAGACAATCCAGGAAGTTTTTGGAAAGCATAGGGGACAATTTCCTGGTGCAAATGTTGGAGGAACCAACAAGGGGCAGAGCTCTTGTTGACCTGCTGCTCACAAACCGGGAAGAATTAGTAGGGGAAGCTAAAGTGGATGAGAACCTGGGAGGCAGTGACCATGAGATGGTCGAGTTCACGATCCTGACACAGGGAAGAAAGGAGAGCAGCAGAATACAGACCCTGGACTTCAGAAAAGCAGACTTTGACTACCTCAGGGAACTGATGGGCAGGATCCCCTGGGAGAATAACATGAGGGGGAAAGGAGTCCAGGAGAGCTGGCTGTATTTTAAAGAATCCTTATTGAGGTTACAGGGACAAACCATCCTGATGTGTAGAAAGAATAGTAACTATGGCAGGCGACCAGCTTGGCTTAACAGTGAAATCCTTGCTGATCTTGAACGCAAAAAAGAAGCTCACAAGAAGTGGAAGATTGGACAAATGACCAGGGATGAGTATAAAAATTGCTTGGGGATGGAGGAGTGAAATCGGGAAGGCCAAATCACACCTGGAGTTGCAGCTAGTAAGAGCTGTTAAGAGTAATAAGGGTTTCTTCAGGTATGTTAGCAACAAGAAAGTCAAGGAAAGTGTGGGCTCCCTTGAATGAGGGAGGCAACCTAGTGACAGAGGATGTGGAAAAAGCTAATGTACTCAATGCTTTTTTTTGCCTCTGTCTTCACGAACAAGGTCAGCTCCCAGACTGCTGCACTGGGCAGCATAGCATGGGGAGGAGGTGACCAGCCCTCTGTGGAGAAAGAAGTGGTTCGGGAATATTTAGAAAAGCTGGACAAGCACAAGTCCATGGGGCCGGATGCGCTGCATCCGAGAGTGCTAAAGGAGTTGGCGGATGTGATTGCAGAGCCATTGGCTATTATCTTTGAAAACTCATGGCGATCAGGGGAAGTCCCGGACGACTGGAAAAAGCCTAATGTAGTGCTCATCTTTTAAAAAAGGGAAGGAGGAGGATCCTGGGAACTACAGGCCAGTCAGCCTCACCTCAGTCCCTGGAAAAATCATGGAGCAGGTCCTCAAGGAATCAATTCTGAAGCACTTAAAGGAGAGGAAAGTGATCAGGAACAGTCAGCATGGATTCACTAAGGGCAAGTCATGCCTGACTAATCTAATTGCCTTCTATGATGAGAACTCCCTCTGTGGATGAGGGGAAAGCGGTGGACGTGTTGTTCCTTGACTTTAGCAAAGCTTTTGACACCGTCTCCCACAGTATTCTTGCCAGCAAGTTAAAGAAGTATGGGCTGGATGAATGGACTATAAGGTGGGTAGAAAGTTGGCTAGATTGTCGGGCTCAACGGGTAGTGATCAATGGCTCCATGTCTAGTTGGCAGCCGGTATCAAGTGGAGTGTCCCAAGGGTCGGTCTTGGGGCCGGTTTTGTTCAATATCTTCATAAATGATCTGGAGGATGGTGTGGATTGCACCCTCAGCAAGTTTGCAGATGACCCTAAACTGGGAGGAGAGGTAGATACGCTGGAGGGTAGGGATAGGATACAGGGGGACCTAGACAAATTGGAGGATTGGGCCAAAAGAAATCTGAGGTTCAACAAGGACAAGTGTAGAGTCCTGCACTTAGGACGGAAGAATCTCATGCACCGCTACAGACTAGGGACCGAATGGCTCGGCAGCAGTTCTGCAGAAAAGGACCTAGGGATTACAGTGGACGAGAAGCTGGATATGAGTCAGTGTGCCCTTCTTCCCAAGAAGGCCAATGGCATTTTGGGATGTATAGGTAGGGGCATTGCCAGCAGATCGAGGGACGTAATCATTCCCCTCTATTCGACATTGGTGAGGTCTCATCTGGAGTACTGAGTGGAAGCTGGGCCAGACCTGAGGGGAACTGTGAACCCATTCATCTGGACATGATTTGGGAGCCAGCCCCAATCCTGCAGGACAGGATCCACAGGAGCTGTCACTCCCGAGTATGTTTGTTTTAACTATTGTTTTCCTCTGTTTTGCATTTGCAAATCCACAGGGCTCAACTGTTAGTTATCTTCTCCATTCTCTGAAGGGCTACCACAAAGTTATTTCTTAGTCATTCTCCTGGGATTTTTTCCAGTCTAATTTTAATTGGCCAAAGTGATGTATCTTCCAGTCCCTCTGCATTCTTTTAAGCAGCACTCCAGAAACTCCTCTCCTCTCCCAGTCCATGTAATTGTCATCTGCAACCTCAACTCCTTGCTAATCACCTCCCTTATCTGGTTTTGATACCTGGCTTTCACTTTTATTTCATCAAAATCTTCCCTACCCTCATACACGGTGACTAATTTCCATGCTGATGTTCCATCCAATCCCTTAGAGGCCTAACTCCTCTCATTTTATTTCCAACAAGAGACCAGCTCTCCCACTCACAAAATTGATCCCTCATTTGACCATATCTTCACCAACCATTGCTCCTTCAATACCAGAGTTTCCTCTCTATCAACTGTCATTTTATTCAACGTCACCCATTTGTCCCCTGATCGGGCCATCTGTGACCGCTAATTGATCACCATCCACGATTTCTCAGCCACACCACTCTTGTCTCAATCTTCACCCCACTTTACCAAATCATTCTGTATGGAGAGATCTTGGCACACCAGCAAAATGCCTGGACTACTACTGATAATTAGAATATTGATTATCATGCTCATTGCCAAAAGCAGCTAAATCAGTAGGCCTTAACAGGCCTCTGTAATGACCTTACTATAATTAAGCAAGCGGCCGGGGGGGCAGGGGTTGAGGGGGAATCTGACCCTGTGTCCTTCCTGATAAGATCTCTGTTGAAACTGCTGAGGTATGTGTTTTAGAAAAAACAGGATGCTTACCTAGATCTGCCCTTTGGGATGTGTTTGTCAGGGTCCCCAAAACATGCGGACTCTGGAAAAAAACCACATCTGTCTAATAGATGGTTTAAGGAAAACTCGTTGCTTAACCTTTGAAATTGTTTGCTTAACAAGTTTTTTGATATTGTTACACTAACCTGAATAAATAAGGAAACTTCATGGACACAGCTTAGGATCCCCAATGGCAGCTGAAAGATGGGCCAATTGGACGGCTGTCATTGTACCACTCAAAGACCACTCCAGACTTTGGTAATTACTGATTTTTGGGGTGTTTTATTAACCTGTTGCAGGCATGTTTAAGTGCTTAAGACTAAAATAAAGTGCAGCTTTAAGTGAAAGCAGTCTAGTATTGTACTGTGTGTGCCAGACATCTATTGGTCAGAGGGCCATGTTTCCCTTGATTTATTTCCTGCCACTGCCTCACCAAGAGTAATAGTTACCAAAAGCTTTGGGGTTTTTAGAACCACAGTAACAGAATTGGAGGCCCCAGCGAGGATTGGTGGAGAGGAAGGAGACGAATGGTACAAACAGTTTATCTATTGCAATAGGAGGTAAAAGATGGTGTGGTGGGGTACCTCTCCACAAGTGCCTGTGTCGTAGTTCGAGTTAATTTATGGATAAATTCTGTTACTGGGACTTAGAGCTCAACCTGTCAGCCTGTTTTGAGTGGGGAATTATGTCCAAAGGAAAGTAAGAACAGTTAAAAATTATGTTGGGGAACAGCTTGACTGATTTTGTACTTTGCTACTGATACTTTGCAACTGCCTAAAAAGCAATTTTGAGAAAAGTAGTAAATTAACAAACAAAGGATATTACTGTGTCGGGACCTTTCCTTAGGTAAAGGTCCCGCAGACACACAGAGCCCTGAGTCCACCAGGAAGGGATGTAAAGTTTGGGTCCCTTACTTTCTGAGTGCCCAAGAGAGAGTGGGGTGAGGGGGGGTGAGAGCCCTAAACTGTGTGGGTAACAATCCACTCCTTCCAACGTCTGACTCTCTCATTAATTCCCAACCCTCCTTCCATTCCTCCTCTTGATCATGCAGAATCTTTCCGATGGGCAGGGGAGAGATGAAGAGGGAAATCAACAAACTTTGTCATGATCCCATTCTCCCATGTAACTACCTTTTTAGGTCACTTGCTTGTTCACCTTTAACCCCTCCAGCCATTCCTGTGAACCCATCCCCTAAACCTCCATCACGCTTACATTCCCTGCCTACTTTCCTCCACTACTTCTCACCATCTGCCTAATCCTTTGCTTTATTTAAGATTTATCGTCTTCATTCTTAAAAAAAAAAAAAAAAAAAACCACCCCCTCCTTGCCTCTCTAGTTACTGCCCTCATCTCCCTCTCACTTCTAAACTCAATGAATGTCCCACCTACAAGTGCGACCTCACACATTTGTCTTCTCCTGCTCATCCCAGATCCCCTCCAATCCAGCTACTGACTTCTCTGCTCCACTGAAACTCCTCTCATTAACATCTCTAATGACCTCTTCCCAGCTGAGACTCAAGGCACATACTCATCCTCCTAGACCTCTCTGCTATATTCGATGCTGATAATCATACTGTGACACACTCTATACGATTTTATAAAAGTATGCTAATGAGTGTGAATATAATGTAACTGGACTATGCTTCATGCAAAAGGTCTCTTGTAAGGTATCATTACAAAGCTTATAATATACTGAGTGTGGTCATCCTAGTTGTATAAATGTATCACTCTAGTATCTGAAACTAGAATATAACTCTGAGGGCCTATTGTAATTATGCAAAGTGGGCCATTAATGGTGGCTTGGAATCTTGATGGCTCCTATTAACCAGGACAATGGTCTGTAGATGGCTCTGTTTCACTTGTAAGTCTTCCTGTATACATGTGTGCTGGCAAGTGGGTAATGAAGTCTTACAGTGACATGTGATCATGTCACCTGAACTGGAATCCATCTTTAACCTGGTCCTTTTCCATTGTGAAGGAGGGAATGGGAACCCAGAGAGGGACAAAGGATAAGTGGGTGGAACAGAACAAAGAGGCAGCCATCATGAGAAATCCCCTACCTACCACCTGAGCTGGAACAAGGGCTGTACCAGGGGAAAGGACTGTGCCCAGACTAGGAAGGCATCCAGTCTGTGAAAGAAACTTGTTGAAACCATCTCTGAGGGTGAGATTTTAATCTGTATTCAGTTTTATTACTGTATTAGGCTTAGAGTTGCGTGTTTTATTTTGCTTGGCAATTCATTTTGTTCTGTCTGTTACTACTTGGAACCACTTAAATCCTAGGTTTCAGAGTAGCAGCCGTGTTAGTCTGTATCCGCAAAAAGGAAAGGAGTACTTGTGGCACCTTAGAGACTAACCAATTTATTTGAGCATAAGTTTTCATGAGCTACAGCTCACTTCATCGGTATGAATGATCAGCATCCGATGAGCTTGTGTTGTCCCAAAGGGGGCTGGGCAGTACAAGAGACATGTTTCTGGGTGAAAGTCTGGGACTGGGAATTTGTTGGTGTTGCTCTGCAGTGTAATTCAAGGGGGGAGGGATAGCTCAGTGGTTTGAGCATTGGCCTGCTAAACCCAGGGTTGTGATTCAATCCTAGAGGGGGTCATTTGGGATCTGGGGCAAAACTTGGGGATTGGTCCTGCTTTGAGCAGGGGGTTGGACTAGATGACTTCCTGAGGTCCCTTCCAACCCTGATGTTCTATGATTCTAAGTGAGCTGTAGCTCACGAAAGCTTATGCTCAAATAAATTTGTTAGTCTCTAAGGTGCCACAAGTACTCCTTTCCTTTTTATTTAAATCCTACTTTCTATATTTAATAAAATGTATTAATACCTCAGAGAGATGCACAGCTTCCCCCCTATCAGTGTTATAGAGGGTGAGCAATTTGAGTTTACCCTGTATAAGGTTTATACAGGATAAAATGGATATATTTAGGGTTTGGACCCCATTGGGAGTTGGGCACCTGAGTGTCAAGGACAGGAACACTTCTTAAATTGCTTTCAGTTAAGTCTGCAGCTTTAGGGCCCATGGTTCAGACCTTAAGTCTGTGTTGGAGCAGACTGGCGTGTCTGGCTCAGCACGACAGGGTGCTGGAGTCTCAAGCTTGCAGGGAAAGAAGGGGCAGAAGTAGTCTTGGCACATCAGTTGGCAACCCCCAGTGGGTTTCTGTGATCCAACCCGTCACACACTCTCCTTTTTTACCCTGTACCCGTACTGACCTTCCTACCCTGGTTCTCCTCCTACTTCTCTAACCACTACTTCAATGTCTCTCTTGTTTGCTGCTTCTCCTACTACGCATGAGAGTTTCTCAGGACCCTCTCCTCTTTAATACAATAGACCCTGCCTTTGGATAATTTAATTCACTCACACTATTTCAAGTATCATCTCTGCATTGATTACTCAAATCTTTTTCTCCACTCCTGACTAGTCTTCTTCCACCCTAGCCTGGGCCTCAGCCTGTTTTGAATGTCTCTTCATGGCTGTTTCACTATGAACTTAAACTTAACACGGCCAAAGTCAAATTCCTTATTTTCCCCATTCTCCATCACCATTGATAAAACCACTATCTTCCCTATCACTCCAGGTTGTAACGCAGGTTTTTCTTAGATGCTTCCCTTACCCTGATCATCCAAACTGTGTCTAAAGTCGATCTTTTTTCTTTTATCTGTGCAACTAAAGGTCTCATTCAGCCTCTCATAATTTCTTCATCCATAAATGATCTGGAAAAAGGGGCAAACAGTGAGATGGCAAACTTTGCCGAGGATACAAAACTACTCAGATAGCTATTTAATCTTGAATACTGTGTGTAGAGCTGGTTGCCACATCTCAAAAAAAGATATATTGGAATTTAGTACAGAAAGGGCAACAAAAATAATTAGGGGTATGGAACAGCTTCCATATGAGGACAGATTAATAAGACTGGGCCTTTTCTGCTTGGAAAAGAGACTACTAAGGAGGGATATGATAGATATCTATAAAATCATGACCAGTGTGGAGAAAGTAAACAAGGAAGTGTTATTTAGCCTAGTGGTTCTCAACCTTTCCCTTTCCAGGCTACTGTACTCCCTTCCAGAGTCTGATTTGTCTTGCGTACCGGCAATTTCACCTCACTTAAACTACTTGCTTACAAAAGTGTCACAGCACACTATTACTGAAAAATTGCTTACTTTCTCATTTTTACCATATCACTATAAAATAAATCAATTGGAATATAATTACTGTACTTACATTTCAGTGTATAGTATATAGAGCAGTATAAACAAGTCATTATCTGTATGCAATTTTAGTTTGGACTGACTTCACTAGTGCTTTTAATATAACCTGTTGTAAAACTAGGCAAATATCTAGATAAGTTGATGTACCCCCTGGAAGACCTCTGCATACCCCCAGGGATACATGTTCCCCAGGTTGAGAACCACTGATTTAGCCCTTCTCATAACACAAGAACTAGGGGTCACCAATGAAATTAATACGCAGGAGGTTTAAAACAAATAAAAGGAAGTACTTCTTCACACAATGCACAGTCAACCAGCAGAACTCCTTGTCAGAGGAAGTTGTGAAGGCCAAGACTATAGCAGGGTTCAGAAAAGAAATAGATAAGTTCATGGAGGATAGGTCCATCAATGGCTATTAGCCAGGATGGGCAGGGATGCAAAACCATGCTCTGAAGTGTCCCTAGCCTCTGTTTGCCAGAAGTTGGGATTGGGTGATGGGATGAATCACTTGATGATTGCCCTGTTCTTTCATTCCCTCTGAAGCACCTGGTATTGGCCATTGTCACAAAACGGTATACTGGGCTAGATGGACCATTGGTCTGACCCAGTATGGCCGTTCTTATGTTCTTGTCTTGATTATGATGTCATCCTTCTCTCTGCTCTTCCCAACATCCACATCAACCCATTCTAGGCCATACAAAATAATTCTGCTAAGATCATCTTTGGACACTGTTCTGATCTTATCAGCCACTCTTTGAATCCCTCCACTGACTGTCCTTCCGCTTATCTCATTGCTTTGTGACATACTTCTTTGTATGCAGCCAAGAATTTCATTGGCATTTTTACTATCCTCTTGAACTGCAAATTCAAGTCTAATTTACTTTCCACCATCAAACCTCAGTCTCTCTCAGACATTCCTTCTCCACATATATCTCCCTCTAACTGAGAATGTGGCTTTCAAGTTATTCTCCCTCCCACCCCCCAAGATAGAGCAGCATGGGACAGTATGATGAGCAAGGTCAGGTGTAAGTGCAGGACTAGGGGTGAGTGGAAGGTGAATTGAAGGAGGAGATAGGTAGGATTGAATGTCTGTGGAAAGGGTGGCAGGTAATCTGGAGAAGTAGTGTTATGGGAAGCAGAATAAGAGGAGCTACCTCATACAGTTTATTGCGATATTCTGCGACAGACAACTGGATATCGTCATCTAAAGGAAGAATCACATCGTAGTCCAGAGAGGGCTCCTTGGTGGGGCAGTGGAACCTACCAAGAAGATATCAAATATGTGACTAAATCTGAGAGTGAACACACACACAAAAACACAACAGGAGAGGCACTAGATATTAATAGATTTTAAGGCTACAATGAAAGCTAAAACAAAGACAGAGCGTGAGAGATCTGAAATATCACATACTAAAGGCACCCTCACCTTTTCACATGAAGAGGAGGAGAAAGCGGATTGAAAACTACCTTTACCTTCACCATTTCACATGGCAGAAGGGAAACTTGTGCTGGTAGCAGTCACACAACAGGCTTGGAGGGGGGCTGGGAAATGTCACACTGGCAATGCCCTCACCTTTTCACATAGGGATGTTGCAGGGCCTCTTCTGCAGTCAGCCGTTTGTCAGGGTTAAATACTAAGAGCCTCTTTAGAAGGTCCAAGGCATGAGGGGGGATAGAGGAGGGTAAAATTTCCTCAATTGTCACTCGCCGTCTGAAAGGCAAGAATCAAAGTTGTAGCTCCCAGTGCCCAATTTCACTGCAAAACCCTGTATCTCAATCCTGGGAATCTCATGGAGGTAACTCCTAACCCCAGATTTCACTCCCAAGGAGTGGTTCATGACTAATACTACGGTTTTGTCATGGATATTTTTAGTAAAAGTCAGGGACAGGTCACGGGCAATAAACAAAAAAATCACAGAAGCCGTGACCTGTCCCTGACGTTTACTAAAAACATCCCTGACAAAGGGAAGGAGGAGGGTCCAGCACCCTGCCCCTCCCCACCACAGTGGCTGGGAGCTGCAGAGACCCAATTGCCCAGTGGCTGGGAGGAGTCCCCGCCGCTGCCTTGTGGGACTGGGAGCTGCAGGAGGGGGGTCCCGCACTGCCTGCGGAGGCAGGGTACCTGCAGGGAGGCCCCTGCCAGCAGTGGAGTCTGAGGATCTCCAGGGGGCCACTGCTGGCTGGGAGCTAAGGGGGGTCCCGCTGCCCATGGAGGCCGGGTGGCTGCGGGGTCCTCAATGCCACAGAGGTTGCTGGAAGTCAGAGTCTGTGACTTCTGCAACCTAATCTTAGCTTTTGTCATGACCCAGCCATACACTGTCGTGCTCAAATAACTAGATTATTGTGAGGTCTCAAACCTAGCTAGGTAATGACATGGAAACATTTTTCTGTGTTACTAAGAGTTAGAAAACTAAGCAATGAAACACGAGCAAAATATCTTTGTTAGGAATTTATGATAGAAGTAAACTGCTAGGAACACATACATAAAAACTGATATAAATTTTTTTAAAAGTCAGTTCAAATTAAAAACCCTTCATTACAAAAACAAAATCACTATTTTTAACTATGTTGCAATATCATGCTAGTGACCTTCTGTGTGGGCCCCTTACTGAATGAGGGAGGCAAACTAGTGACAGAGGATGTGGAAAAAGCTAATGTACTCAATGCTTTTTTTGCCTCTGTTTTCACTAACAAGGTTAGCTCCCAGACTGCTATGCTGGGCATCACAAAATGGGGAAGAGATGGACAGCCCTCTGTGGAGATAGAGGTGGTTAGGGACTATTTAGAAAAGCTGGACGTGCACAAGTCCATGGGGCCGGACGAGTTGCATCCGAGAGTGCTGAAGGAACTGGCGGCTGTGATTGCAGAGCCATTGGCCATTATCTTTGAAAACTCGTGGCGAACCGGGGAAGTCCCGGATGACTGGAAAAAGGCTAATGTAGTGCCAATCTTTAAAAAAGGGAAGAAGGAGGATCCTGGGAACTACAGGCCAGTCAGCCTCACTTCAGTCCCTGGAAAAATCATGGAGCAGGTCCTCAAAGAATCAATCCTGAAGCACTTGCATGAGAGGAAAGTGATCAGGAACAGCCAGCATGGATTCACCAAGGGAAGGTCATGCCTGACTAATCTAATCGCCTTCTATGATGAGATTACTGGTTCTGTGGATGAAGGGAAAGCAGTGGATGTATTGTTTCTTGACTTTAGCAAAGCTTTTGACACGGTCTCCCACAGTATTCTTGTCAGCAAGTTAAGGAAGTATGGGCTGGATGAATGCACTACAAGGTGGGTAGAAAGCTGGCTAGATTGTCGGGCTCAACGGGTAGTTATCAATGGCTCCATGTCTAGTTGGCAGCCGGTATCAAGTGGAGTGCCCCAAGGGTCGGTCCTGGGGCCAGTTTTGTTCAATATCTTCATAAATGATCTGGAGGATGGTGTGGATTGCACTCTCAGCAAATTTGCGGATGATACTAAACTGGGAGGAGTGGTAGATACGCTGGAGGGGAGGGATAGGATACAGAAGGACCTAGACAAATTGGAGGATTGGGCCCAAAGAAAAGAAATCTGATGAGGTTCAATAAGGATAAGTGCAGGGTCCTGCACTTAGGACGGAAGAACCCAATGCACAGCTACAGACTAGGGACCGAATGGCTAGGCAGCAGTTCTGCGGAAAAGGACCTAGGGGTGACAGTGGACGAGAAGCTGGATATGAGTCAGCAGTGTGCCCTTGTTGCCAAGAAGGCCAATGGTATTTTGGGATGTATAAGTAGGGGCATAGCGAGCAGATCGAGGGACGTGATCGTTCCCCTCTATTCGACATTGGTGAGGCCTCATCTGGAGTACTGTGTCCAGTTTTGGGCCCCACACTTCAAGAAGGATGTGGATAAATTGGAGAGAGTCCAGCGAAGGGCAACAAAAATGATTAGGGGGCTGGAACACATCAGTTATGAGGAGAGGCTGAGGGAGCTGGGATTGTTTAGCCTGCAGAAGAGAAGAATGAGGGGGGATTTGATAGCTGCTTTCAACTACCTGAAAGGGGGTTCCAAAGAGGATGGCTCTAGACTGTTCTCAATGGTATCAGATGACAGAACGAGGAGTAATGGTCTCAAGCTGCAGTGGGGGAGGTTTAGATTGGATATTAGGAAAAACTTTTTCACTAAGAGGGTGGTGAAACACTGGAATGCGTTACCTAGGGAGGTGGTAGAATCTCCTTCCTTTGAGGTTTTTAAGGTCAGGCTTGACAAAGCCCTGGCTGGGATGATTTAACTGGGAATTGGTCCTGCTTCGAGCAGGGGGTTGGACTAGATGACCTTCTGGGGTCCCTTCCAACCCTTATATTCTATGATTCTATGATTCTATGACTGGATTGGGGGTGCCAGAGTAGGGGAGGTGAAGAGGCCATGTTGGCCCTCTTGCTTTTGAAAGTGGACAGGTCTGGCCAGTCTGCTTTTTGCCACAGGCCTGGCTCAGCCCCCTGCCCTTCTTCTTCCTCCCATGGGCCCACCCCCTGGCCAGGCCAGAAGCTGGAGCCCGGGCAGCTGTGGGGAGCCATGGACCCTCCACGAGCCAGGGTAAGGGGTTCCCACGAGCGGCCCCCGATCCATGTCCCTGTGGCCTGGGACCCCTGCCCAGGCAGATGGAGTGTCCACAGCTCTCCGAGCAACTCTTACCATGGCCTAGCTGCTGCTCTTTAGTCCCCGGGCCCCCTCCTCTAAGCCAGCCTGGAAGCCGGAGCTAGGCCGGGGTAAGAGCTGTGCAGGCACTTGTGGGGAGCTGCAGACCCTCCACCTGCCCTGGGTGGGGGGTACAGGGGGTGGGGACATGGGCAGGGGGATGCTCTCAGCTGCCCCCACCCCAGGCAGGTGGAGCAGGGCCTTGTGGGAAAGAGGAGGGGCAAGGGCAGAGCCATGGCAGGGGTGGGGCCTCGTGCCCCCCTCTTCTAGGAAGAATCCATCACCTCTAGACTGGATACTGAACAGTATCATCTCTCCATTTGTCACAAGTCCTTCTGCTTATTTGTATTTATCTGTTTTTGTTGTGTGAAAGGGATAGTTAGTGGTTATGGTGTTCTTTGAACATAATGATTCATATTATATAATGAATGTGATACTTTGATGTTGACACACACATATAGTAGTCAGAGTTAAAGTTGCAAAGGAAAAGAACAGCTACTTACCTTACAATAACTGTGGTTTGAGATGATTTATCTGTGTGGATCCCTTCCAAGGTACACATGCACCTCACGAATGAGAGATCAGAATTTTTGACCAGCAGTGTCTATCGGGGCGTGCCTGCACCCTGCATATCTTTCTGCGTCTCCACTACCCTTCAATTCCCTAATTCAGAAACCCTATTAGGATAAGACTCAGAAATAGGGATGGGTTGTGGATCATGGGATCTCATGAACAAAATATCTCTACGAACCAAATTACTATAAGGTAAGTAACTGTTCCTTCCTCTTTGAGTCCTTGTATGCCTGGATCCCACTCAAGGTGACTAGTTAGCAATATCCAATTAGTAGTAGGAGGAACTGAAGCCAATTCAGTGAATTATACAAAATTGTTTATGAAAGCAAGCAAAATTTGGAGACACACTGGATTGCTTAAGTTAAAGAAGTGGAACAAGAGGTTCTCAAGTTCCTGGAAGTGTCATGGGTTGCCATGACAATTAGATAAAAGATTTTAAAAATGGGAGGAAATATTTATAGTTCAAATAACTTTTGTTTAAATTGGTTAATTTCAGCAGAATATGGTTGTCATCTCTCCTTGGACATCATTTATATAGGGGCCACTGTGACAGACAACAGGACAGTGAATTAGGAGGAAGTTTCACCATCATGGCTGCTACCAGTCTCCCAGTGTCCTGGGATCCTCTAAGACACCACTGAGACTTTATCATCCTGATCTTGAAAGGTGTCTCCGGCTTGATCTGGTCAGGACATTACCCCATCCACCAGCTTCAACTAAATCTTGAACACCACCTAGAATTGGCCCCCCGGGTTCCAGCTGTCACCCCGTCCCTGGAGTGTCATTTTCCTTCCCCACCCTTTTTCCTCCTCTTTCCTATCTTTTTTTTGTCTGATAAGAGTCTGATTTAGCCTCCAAGAAAACTCCACCTTTTGTAATATTGATGTGACCAGGGAAGTAGCTAAAAGTAATGTCCTAAATAGCCCAATGCTGGTAAAAGTTTGCCAATTCTTAAGAGTGGCTGATAAGACCATGTGCTGGGCCTATCATTTCCCAGCACCTGGACTGCAAGGGAAATAAAGTGTTAGAGACAGAAGCTGCATTTTCCATCTTTGCTGATCTTTTCTCTCCCTTTTTCAGCAAGTTGTCTGGCTTTGTCTTAAAGAAAAGATGATTGGACTTCAACAACAACTACCAAAGACCATCTTAACTCTCTCTCTCTCTTTCCCCCAAAAGGGATAGTTAATACCATCTTTAATATGATCTAAGACTTTCAAGCAGAGATCTTCTGCTATAAAAGACTATACTGTGACATTATTGACATGAACTGTGACCGTATAGATCATTGTTTCAACCTGGGTCATATGGTTGCACCAGGTCTTTTAGCTTTAGAGGAGGTCAAGTGGGGTGTCTATGGAAAGGTTGTAGTTTTCTGGTTATGATTATGCTATCTGTATGCATGTTTCATTTATGCATTTAAAGTTACAAGTATTGGCTCTATACTGTCTGTATTTCAAACTTGTGCTAT